TTAGACATTTTTTTTTTACTGGCTCCCCAGCCCTAGATGGGTAGTTATGTAACAATTGGGGGGGTCGTCTGTTTTGTTTTTTGCTTATTTGAGACAATTGTGTTAATTGATTTAATACTTGGAGATGTGTCTCTTGTTAGAGAATCCGTTACGACATTTGCTGCTGAACACCATTTCAATTTGTTGGCAAGTACTCCTTTCTCTAGGAGTTTGTTTGGAAGTCTTTGAAATATTGTGGGAGGGGCAAAGGCATTAATTGTAAGAGTATGGATTTTGATTTTATAGAATTCTCTCTTAATCCTACTACAGAAGTTTGTGATCGCTAATGGTACAATTAAATATTTTTTTAGATTTAATTTAAAAACTACATTAAGTTCTCTTTAACTGTAGAAGCTGCTAAATATACTCCGCCAACAGACTTGCTGCTGCAGTAGTTTTGTTATTCTGAATTCCAAATCATTTAATGCACAGCTATTTTTTTTTTTTTTTTTATTTACATTGGCTCGTCAGATGTTTCAGCTCTTAGGAGCCCAATAATCCCAGACACCAACGGCCTAGAAGGGTAAATTATTTAAATACTTTACTAGTTAACTACAAATTAAATAAGTTAATTATTAAAACTAGTTAGCTGCAAACTAAATTAATTAATTAATAAAACTAGTTAACTACAAATTAAACAAGTTAATTATTAAAACTAGTTAGCTGCAAATTAAATTAATTAATTAATAAAACTAGTTAACTACAAATTAAACAAGTTAATTATTAATGGTATAACAATTAAATAATAATGCATCAAATATTTTGAAATATTTAAAGATTTAGCCTAATTTAAAAACTACATTTTTAAGTTTTATATTTAACTGTAGAAGCTGCTAAATATATTCAGCCAACAGACTTGTTGCTTCTGTAGTTTTGTTACTCTGAATTTAGTCTGAATCACTTAATGCACACAGCTCTGTTTTTGACAGCGGTTTGTCAGATGTTTTGTTCCATCCGTTGCTTTATCACTGTCAATCACAGCATTGACTCGTAATTTACACGAGCGTTTGGAATTCCTGAAACATTATACTATATAGGCTTACTAGTAAAAGTTCAAAAAGTACAACTTTAAATTGTACTTCTTAATGGATGACGTGTACGGAGAAAATGACTGCAGCTCATGAGGCAGATGCATAGGTCACTCTTGACCACCTGAAGAACCTCCATGAGAAGACCGAAGTATAAAGACTTTGCAAAAGGTGCGGAAAACAGCTGCAGCAAAAGAGAAAAAAAAAAA